TTCTTTTAGGGTCATCTTCATCATCATGCCTTTTGCTGCCTTGAATAAAAACCATGTACCTAAAATAGATGACATTAAAATCAAGCCATAAAGGCAGCCAAAACATCACTTAGTCCAGGAAGCTACTGCCTTGCTGCATTTTCACCAGAGATACTTTTGTCCCTCCCTTCTTTGACATAACTACAAAAATCTTTACATTTTATTCCGTGATTATTGACAGAAATGGCATCACTCCTTCACTCCTGTCTTTACAAAAATACTCATTTTTATTCCAGACTAACTCAACATCCAAATGCTGTAATAATAAAAAGAAGTTTAAAAAGGTCCAAAGCAAAATTCATCCTTTTCTAAGGGTAAGTGCAAAGAATGATGCTTTTGTGATGCTACCACATGCTTCCATTATTGGCCAAACAACCATTCTGCATTAAGGGAAGAAAGATATTTTCATGATTCCTCTAAAAGTCTGCATAGTTTTGATCAAAATAAGGAATCAGTGATGCTAGGTAGGTGTATCTGCACTGGCAGACATCGGCAATAATATTATACATAATTTTCTTTCGCTCCCTGTCTCTACAGATCTTACGAACTCCTTAACAGCCCAGCTGCTCACACTCAAGGTTGAAGTTAGCCCATCTTGACTTTGTTTGGTTACCACATCAGTGACTGCTGTTTACCACATGGAGAGTCCTTTCTGAAGGGCAAGAAGGTGCTTTTTGCCTCCAGCAACCCTGTTGATCTCTTGCAGACCTCAAAGGCCTCTGCTGGCCCTTCAGTATTTTGAACCAGAAGATAAAGGTTTTCAAAGGATGCTTGCTCTACCTACTGCAGAAGCTGAAAAGTGTCATCCAGTCCCTCTTCTATGGAGTGAATGAAACAGTCTCTCTTCTCACTTAGAAAGTTGTAGACTTGGAACCTCTGTTCTTGGTGATCTTGGTTGCTTTTCTACTTTTATGCCACATTTTTTTTTTTTTTAAATCCATCCCAAGCCCCCTCCAGGAAATGCAGACCCAGTAGCTGAGATCACACACTGACCTCCTGTCTCATGTGTCTCTATTGGCCACACCTCAGTACTTTCCTATTGTCAGATTGCAGCAGGCAGGAGTTTAAACTGCCAAGGACTTCAACACCTGAGTTGAACTAGAAATTAAGTATGATCTCCATATCGTAGGCTAATATGTACAGTCAAACTAGGTCTGATTTTAAATTATGAAAAACTCTCAGTGCCAACTGCTACAGATCCTGCTTTTAACATTGAGATTTAACCAGCATGCAGTAATTACGAGTTAGAACCACATACTTAAAATGAAGAAGCAAGAAAAACAGGAAAAACACCAGTAAATACAACTTCTGCAGCTGCAAAATGCTTTAAGCAGAGAGTTGATAACCTCAGAGTGTGCGATCATTATAATATTGAACAAGTTGTCATTATTTCAAATGCTCATCACAGTGCTCTGCCCTACACTGTTCATACCTAAGACTGCATATGCTCAAGACTGAAGAATCAACACCATAAGTTTAATAGGTATGTATTCATTTTAGGCTATGTCTTAGGTGGTGAACAAACCTTAGCGCTCTACTCAAAAGCGTTTTCCAGTCTCCACAAAAGAACATACAAGAATATGAAAGAATATATGTATATATGTATATATACGTACACATGTATATGTATATATATCTGTAGAACAAACAGGATTGAAATATGCAAATAAACATTTTATTTCATAAATTCCTCTGTCAATTTTACACTTAGCAGTGTGTCCAATATAATTACTTATAATAAATAATCATATGATTGAATTTTTCTCTTCATCCAGAAAGCATCACCAACATCCGATGTTCTGCAGATTAGAATCTGGCTTAATGTCTGCAACGGAATTTTACACACACAAACACACACACACACACAGTCATCACCAACTGTTTAATTCTGAATGATTACAGAAATGCAATTGTAAACATTTATTTATCTTTTCATAAAAAAAAACAAACAACAAAAACAGAGGGGAAGAGGAAATATCTAAATGATATATACAAGGAAATATGTATGTATATACAAGGAAAGTACACTGAATTTCAGAGACCTCAGAAAATGTGGTGTAGGGCTAGGGAACAGTAATTGCACAGAACAGGAAAAAAAGCATTTTCAGAGGATGAAAGAAAAACTGACACAACTTTTTCTTTCAATTGTTTTCCCATCTGAATTCTACAATAAATGGAAAATAATCCCAAGATATTAACAGAAAGTCTTAAAACCCATACAAACATTAGCAAAGACACAACACTGACCAGTGTCAACCTCCCCAGGTATTTCTTACACAGGAGTATGACACTTCCAACACAATCCTGACTCTCTTACGACACAGAGAAATTGGTATTAATAATAAACAAACTCTATCAGCAACTATTGCTAGAAATAAATCAAAGACTGAGCTACAATAAGTTCCTAAATCCTAGAGACTTTCTTCTAGATTCTAAAAGATGAAAAATTCTGAACAAAATCTGTAATTGAAAACAGTTATAAAGATTTCAAACAGCTGAAACTAATAATACGGGACTTATGTCATAAACCCAAATCAAACCTTCTCTTTCATATTTAAAGATAAAAAATTGGGTGCGGAAAACTACCTCCAGTAATGAGACTAGCCTGGCTAGTAATAAGTTTCAAACCATGACTATTGTGTAAGATTAAAGAGAAATTAATCATTTTCAGAGTAAAATAATTACTGTGCAGACCACGTATTTGTTTCCTCTCATGTAAGATAAAATTAAACTGTAACTCAGCAGCTACAGTATAAGGAAATTAATGTTAAAGCTGATAAGTAGTATGTCCCCATTCAAATTACTAAAAATGTGTGCCCAAACAGGAGATGTGCTGGACCACATGTGGAAGAAATACTGATGAGGAAGCATTAGAGTGTAGCATCAGGTAAGCTCACAAAGAAGTGGTAGAGCTTAATATTTTCAGTGACAGGATAGTGAAGCAAATGAAAAGGGCACAAGAAACAAATAAATGATAATACGTGGTCAGATGCACAAGAGTTGATTAAAGAACACTGAAGAACAGCAGTAGATTGAATTACGTCTCCTGGTCAGTTGATTCTGCCTTCACAGTGTTCATTAAATCCAATGTAAGTATTCACTCCTAACTTGAAAATGAACTAAAAATTACTTGCAAATGCCATCTCAATTTGCAGAACTGGAAATTGTTTCCAGTATCTGGAAAAAAAATGGAAGTGGAGTGCACTTAGTTATGGCTGGCAGACAGATCATTTACAGTGCACTAATAGTGGATCAAGATCCCATCAGCCCAGAGACAGTCCTACTGTCATTGCAGCCTTGATAGTAATGCCAAGATCCTTGGAAGCCTCTGTTTAAAACCAGATATCTAGAACATTTGCACATAGAATAAAAACTGGTGAACAGCTAAAATAACTTTAAAAATTTGTCTTCCAATTTATAGAGGGACCTTGGATTATTAAGTAAAGCTTTTAACTAAAAAGATATAATTTCATTAATAATTTCATTAACAGATGCAAATGAATTTAACTGTACAATTACTGTTTAAGAATTTAAAATCTTTATTCACTGTCACATCCTTTTCAAAACAAAGGTTAATTTCTCTAACACATTAAGCTTCTCACACAGCTTCTTTAAAGGAAGAAAATAAATATTACATCCTTTTCAATTCTACTGCATGTTTAGTATCTTGAAATATCCCACTCCTTTACAGCCTGTTGCTGGGCAGCAAATTAGCTCAGTGTTGCTCTGCAGCATCTTCCAAACTGTTCTTCCTCCCAGTCTTAACTTCTGCATCAGTTATAGAGAAAAAAGGATTATCTTCTAAAGATTCCTACACTGTTCTTGCACCCCTGTGTACAACCTCATGAACATGCATATTTTTGTCCTTCACCCACCAACTTGTAACCCAGTCATTCCCATCCTTTCACAAGTGCACTTCTGATATTTCACTTACTCTAACTGCCACAGTACTGATCAGTCTGTGACGTGGAGAAACCCACACTGAATTCTCACATTTCTGCGTGACAGAGAGCCCTTTTGACCCTTTTTACCTCTTCTTTTTCTGTGCAACATAATTTCATAGAGGTGAAGGCAAGCTAGAACACCAGTTATAATTTTTTTTTCTCTGAAGAAAATTTTCACTCGATAGCAAAGAATAGCTGACAAAGAACGAGGATGAACAATATATGAAAAAGCTAAGAAATTTGAAGAAGGTGTGGCAGAGTGAAATAGGGAAAAAGACTCTTAGACAAACACAAGTTTAACACACAGCCCTTGTGATTTGTTGAACAAGTTTAAGCTGCATTAGAAATGAATTCACTGTACCCTTTGCTAACAGCAGGTTAGAGAATATAAATTCTCTAACCACATGCTGCTGAATTTGCAAAAAGAACAGAGAAGTGTCCTTTTGGTCTGGAAAAGGATCTATGCCTTGTACAATTAAAAGCACATTTGAAGATCTACACTGATGGAGGCAGCCACAGAACGTCCCCAGGAAGCTACAGCAGAAGGTGAGAGGTGGCCCAGTCACGTGGAAAGCTTTGCTGCTTTGGGAAGAGAACAGCAGTTCCTCTCCAAAAATCCTGCACAGTAACTAGAAATCAGAGGACACATTTCTCAAGATGGTAACTTACAACTGAATCTCTGATTAAAAGAGGTAACTTAGACATATGGAGATAAAAGTAGCAGTGCTGAGTTGTGTCAAATGCTGCCAGAAGGATTTTTAGCACCAGGAGTTTTTCATTTTGTCTTTTTCTTTTCCCCCTTCTTCAAAACAAGTGGATATTTTCCATTTCAGTTTATCTGCTTTCCAACGCAGTGGATTTCCACATACTAAATGACAAAGCTGGAGTAGGAGGCTGCTTCTAGAATGTGTGCAAGCTCACAGCTTTCAAAACCTAAAATTCCTTCTCTTAAATCTCCATTAAAAGAAATCCTATGAACTTCTTAAAGAGCAGAGTAAAATAAAGCATACAACTTACCTCATAGTAACTTCGCACAGCATTACAGAACGCTTCATCTGCTACGATTTGTGTCTCCCCATTCAGAAAGGCCTGGAAACGTTCTTTCAGTGTCTGTAGCTGCTGCTTATTAAGCTACGGAAGAAAGAGAGGAGAAGAATGATTACAAATTGAGTTCAGTCTCAAAATAAGACATGCAGCATTATAGTAGCTTCCATTTGTTGTCCAAGCACTACCATCTTCACATTTAACAAGTATGCTCACTGAAGAAAATTGAATAAAGATGCTGAATCTGCAGTGCATGGACTTCAGGCCATTGATGCTACACCACCATGAAGAAGGTCAGACAAACAACCTGACAACAGCAGCCATGAGTCTCCCAGACAGACACTGAATTTCTTTCAGTGGATTTCACATCAAAGCTGAGTGCATTTGAAAGCAGATTCTTAATGGAGAACATTACAAGCCTAAGCCTTGCAAACAACCTGTTTTATTAGAGTTTAGTGTTAATGGGAAAAATCAAAATCTCAAAGTTCTTCTGGGAGCCAGACAAGCTTCTTACAAGGCTATTTCAACTCCTGAAGTATTCAGTATGATATTTCTCTCCTCATCAAATTTGTGTGAAGTGAAAACGTCACACCAAAGTGGACTCCTACTAACATATGCTAATAATACTGGGCAACAATTAAAGCCAGTTGTTTTGCTTTCTCAGAATTTAAACATTAATGTAAAGCCTTTGTTTCCTAATTTCTGAACTTCAACATTACAAAAACTCAAGCACAACTGGGAGAAAAGCTTGTTCATCTTTCCTGTTTTTTGCCTAGTTAAAATAAGCATATAGCCAGATTTCTTTTTTCCGAGAGCAGAAAGTTCTATCTGTAATGGCTAACCTGCAACAAATAGCATTACCTCAACTGCATCAGTGATTCTTACATTAGAACTTTTTGGCACCTGCACAATGTATGGTGATTTCATGCTTTCAGATATCTAGTCTAGCCACTTTGAAGCCATTTAAGCTAAAGTATTGTTAAGGGATTAAAAAAATTACTGCTATCTTCCTAATGCTCCTACCTTGAACAACCTTTACATCCTTCATATCAAAGGAGGATTTTCATCTTACATCACGCTCTCCAGCTCATGTGCTTCTATTTGAAAACTGTCTCCAAATCAAATGCAAAAGCTTTCTTATTTTCACAGAAGACGATCATATAGATATCATGTGAATGATATGAGGAATCCTTTGAAAAATGGTGAAACGTAGGCAGTAGCAAAGCAAAGCCAGAAATGATGCCTTTGAAAAAGAATCTGAACATTAAAAATAGATAGTTCTGTTCACCATCTTAGTGTAATGATTAGCAGCACAGAACAAGCCCCAGGAAACCTCCACACAAGAAAAGGCCTCCACTTGAGATAAGCAAACGTCAGCAGAAGCTGCTGTGGCTTGGAAGAGTTCCTCTCGAGAGCAGCAGGCCAGCACTGACAGCCTGCCAGCATGCACCACTGCTACCAAAATCAATGTCAGAGAAGCATAGGTTTTGTGTCCACATGTAAACAACAAATGCACCTACGCACCCATCTGAGACCTCCATTCCTTGTGCAGAACCTGCACCACAAATTAACAGCTGCAGTGGAAATCAAACGTTATTGCCAGATACGCAGATCCCTTTTATTCAACTCCCCTATTCTTCTCTCACCTGCTAAAGACTAGACAAGCTGAGCTACCAGCGCACACAAATCATTAAGGACATTTGGAGCTCTGTGCTCAAAGGTAAACACACGCTTGCTGTCACAGGGGAGCTGAGAAGAGCCGACCTTCGTGCAGACGGCGCGCCCTGCAGAGCGCGCAGCTCCTCCGTCCTGCGGAGCATCCAGCGCTCCGCAGCGAGAGCACGCGGGCTTCCTGCCAAAGCAATTATGGAAATGTGTTTTCCTGCTCGCAGACTTCATTCTTTAGGTGATTTGCTTGTCTATTACCCGCATATCAAACAAAAACATTATGAATAAGGCAACGAAATATAAATTTAATTCTGGCTTTCTCATTTCTAACCATCATAGTTCAGCAAACTGGAATGCCTTTAAAATTTTTATATATGGCTTTCATATTCATTACTTCAGGTAGTAATTCTATGATTTGAGTGGCATTTGAGAGTCATTTTATGTTTCTTAAATTACTGATATCTTAGTGTGAAATCTGAACAGTAAGGAACAAAGCTCTTCTGCAAAACTAAAAGTAATATTAATTCCAGTGGAAAAAATATGAAAAACTGTATGTTGCACTAAGAAGCAGTACATTTTACTGTGGGGGAAGATGTAACCGTGAGTCAGCAAAGAGTTTATCAGACTCCTTGATAGACCCTATCAGTGTGAAACCTTGGGAGTCTGGAGTGTAAGACAGAGAGCAAATGGTATCTGTTTGCTCTAAGAGTAAACAGGAGGTTCTTTTTGTATGCATTGTTAATCTTATCACACTTAAGAAACCTTTCATCCTTTATCACTGTGTTTTGGGAGAAGCTAGACCAATCAACTGATTAGAGGGACAGGAATTCCTGGCTTGTAGGTGAATGGTATATAAGATGTATGTTGAACACAATAAGGAGAACGATTCTGAGAACTAAACTGATGCTACAAGAAACTGTGAGAGCTCTCTAACTCGACTGGGCAATGACATTTTACAAGTCCCCAGTACTGTCATACGTAGAGATGCCAGGACAAAATAAGTTATCACAGCCCACTGCAGCCTATTGGTCCTCTGTTTTCACATCTGACAGAACATTGACCACACAGTGAATTATGCTCCTTTTGTTGCTGGTGGTCATTTTTAATGTATACATAAGCATACGTCAATCAGCAGCCAAATGTCTCTAGAAAACAAACTAACAGTGGAAGTAATAGATGAAATGCAGGAAGAAAGAGAAGTCTAATTGAGAATCACATAATTGCATATGGAGAATAACAAGTGTCTGCAGAGGGCACCTCAACCAACGGACACAGCCAAGCAGCTCAACCATCCCATGTCTGAGTTATTCTGAAGTCACAGAAATCATAGAAAGGCTGAGGTAGGAGAGGACTTTAAAGACCATCTTCTTCTAACCTCCCTGCCATGTGCAGATTGCCATCCCCCAGCTCAGGCTGCCCAAGGCCTCGTCCAACCTGGCCTTGAACACCTCCAGGATGAGGCATCCACAGCTTCTCCTGGCAGCCTGTGCCAGCACTTCACCATCCTATTTAGTTGCCCACTTGGTCAACAACAGATGAGAAATGAGGACATCAAGGACACCATACATAACTAGGATACCATCAGAAGTGCCTAAACTTAAGGACGGTAATTCTGTTCTGCATTTTCTCCTATAAGAGCTCACATAAAGACCACATAGCATCCTTCTATTCCAGAACTTCTCCACTGTATCTGTGCCCTCTCCTCTGTACAGTACCCACATGTAGCTGACCACTGCATTCTGCCCCTCACAAGTACTTCTCTACATCTTACAGTGCCTCCACGCCCACATTTTGATACTAATAGAAAGAGCCACAAACAGCAAAGTTTTAAAAAATATTTTAACATTACCACATCCCCCCAAATATAAAACTGAATTCAGATGATCACCTGAAGAATGGCTTGAAGTCTCACTAATTCTGTCACATCCCATCAACCTGCTTCAGTTTTGTATGCTTTATTTGGATTTTTCTTTCTCAGTGATATGAAATCTGTTGTCATAACTCTGTTTGATACTTCATAAATAGCTCCTGCTGCTTCATGGGAGAATGTATAACTAAATTCCAGCATCTCAGAATATCAGGTTTGATTGCATTCCGTAGAATGACTGAAGATAAATAAAGTCAACTTTAAGGGAAAAAAAGATTAACCAACCTAAAATTTGCTTTTTTGTTATTGCAGTCACGCAACAGAAAATAATATACATATATTTCCCTCCATCCAATTTGCCTTTTACAGACGCTTACATTTATTTTTTTTACTTCACAGATCTGATAAACATAAGAGAATATCAAAGAAAATTAACGTAAAAGCTAGAACAGACTTCTCAGAACTATTTAACTAAGAGTATTTTTTGTTCAAGTTGCAGGAATAGTTTCGCTTTTCATAATGTACAGAGTAATGCAAATGTACCACAACAGTCGCATGCAATTAAATATTAAAAAATTCTCACCTTGCATTTAACACCTCAACAATGTGTTACATATCCCCAGCACATTCCTCCTAAAGCATTATCTTAAAGATTTGTTTTAGATGCTTTATTCCTTCTAATGTGAAACTGGAGTATGAAAACCTAGAGGCAATCCTGTTTCATCTCCCCTTATGCCTTTAACAAATTCAGTAAATGGAACTTACAAATGTGGGGTTTAATTCTATTTTTTGTAAGATGCTGCATTTTAAACATCTAGCAGTTCAGGGAATTGTTCCATTGTAACATGGTTCAATTCATTAAATAATACAATATTTTAAAAGAAAACTCAAGCATATGTGGATTTGGAGCAGTAAAACTTTTTCTTTTATTTGAAAAAAAAGAAAAAAGAAAGAGAAAGGAAAATTCTAGCTTCAGAGGAGCTAGACTTAAGGCATCTTCCATCCTTTCTGTCCTATCCTTGCACGCTGAGCAACTCAGTAGCGCCTTGAACATTTGCAGCCAACAACAGCCAGCAAAAACCTACGTCACCACAACATAAGCATCACCCAAGAAATTTTATCGTTCAAAACTAAGGGCACCAGCAGCCTCCCTGCTCCATGCCCCAGATGCTGCCTTACGGCCACAGCCAGGCAGCTGACCCTGCTCCCGGCAAATACAATAATCCCAGAGCTGGCAGGGAAGAATAACATCGGAGCCATTGCCACCTTGTGGCAGTTCTGGAAATACAGCAAAGAAATAACTGCTCGTTGCAGGTCCTCGTACCCAGAACTGTGATTTGCCTGAGCATCAATAAGCCTTAACGGAACCAAGAGTTCTGCTGCTTATCTACTCCTAACCTACAGTGTAAAATTACCCCTCATCAGATGATACGGATATTTTAGAAAAATAGCAGAAGGTGATGACTGCAATTAGAGCCAGATTACATACAGGCTACAAGGGGTAAGGAGGACCCAACCCAAGAATCCCTGAAGCAAGTACGCACCCTCAGCT